AGGAAACCTACTAACAGAATGCTGAGATTTGCTTTTGCTAGACATCATCTAGAAATTCAGGGGTGCAATAAAATACAACCTTTCTGATCAACTTTGGTGAATCAAGAAACTTGCTGTGAATCATGAAAGTATGAAACATATTCCCTGATAATGCAGGGTGCCTATACAGGAGAAAATTGAAACATCATATTGTAGTTGAAGGTTTTCTGTGTCCCACCCAGTCCACAGTAACTCAGACCCAAGTAAACACACAGATGTTTATATTAATTAAAACTGCTTAGCCATTAGCTCAGGCTTCCTACTGACTAGCTCTTACATTTAAATTCAGCCCATTTCTGTTAATCTATATGTCACCACATGTTCCATGGCTTTGCCTGTTATACACTGCTCCCTGGACAGTGGGCTGGCATCTCCTGACTCAGCCTTCCTCTTCTCAGAATTCTCCTTGTCTGCTTATCCTGCCTATACTTCCTGTCTGGCTACAGGCCAATCAGCATTTTATTACACCAGTGTACAAGAGCATTATCCCACAGCATTTCCTCTTTTCTGTTTAATTAAAAAGGAAAGTTTTAACTTTAACATAGGAAAATTATATATAACAAGACGGTAATCAGGCAAGAATTACAATTTTAATATGTAGTCTATTTGTATTTGGCAAAATTAAAGAAAATATTTTATCTGTTCTATACTTGTGGGTCTAAAATTTCATATCTAATTTATCCTTTATCATAACAAAGAAAAATTATAATTATAACTATCTAGTCTTTACATCAAATTCCCAAGAAGGATATAATATTATCTAAGTAAACAGAAAGAACATTCATTGTAAGCAACTTCCAAAAATCTAGAATGACAGAGACAGCTGGCTGCCTGGACAGTCATCCAAAGTACTTCTGTAACATTACAACATCCATTCTTTAGCCAACAGGCCTAAAGTCTCTCAGTTGTTTTTCTCTGTGTTCTGTAGAATGTCTGGTAGTCTCTTTTGTGAAGTAGGGACCAGTAGGACCATCATTCCTTACAAAGTTCAGTGGTCACCTTCCTATGGGTCTGCATGTCCAGTTGATACATTTTTTCAAGCAGTCTAGGCAAGAACAGTTTCTTACCTTTGCCAAGAAGATGAACTCCATATGGAGTGTCTTTAACACCTTTCTCTTTGAAGTAAATTGGTGCTGCCAGGAGCAGATGTGTCTCATTTTCTAGAAAAGTCCAAGTTTTTAAAACATTTTAAATGACATATTTTGAAGTGTTTTAAGAATACCTACCTAATTGAATTATATCTATGTATATCTAGAAAACTTAACATGATTATAAGATTGACTATCATAGAAGACTAATTATTAATCTGTATTTCTTAATTATTCATTACAATTTCAAATGAGCTGCACAAACATAATACTTTAAACAAGAGTAGAAATATACACAGTATAACAAAATTAACTTTAAATTTGTATCAATAAACTAAGATCTATAGCAATTTAAAACAAGTTGCTCTTTAAAAGTAGATTCAATAATCTATCCTTTCATTCTATCATATCTATATCATCATATGTGTTGTGTTAACTAGGATTTTTCTCTCCAAATTGTTTTACTTACACTTAAATACACAACATCTTTACTTTAAATAACAAAAATAAATAAGTTTTCCAGTAGTCAAAAGTTAATTCTGGATATTTAAAATGATATTTATCTGAACAGACACTTACGGAGTATGAATTATCCAGAGTTCAAGGATTTCATATAAACATGCATGCATAAACCTCAGTCACACTTTACTTAGGTTCCATGGTGTGATGTAAAGTCTTACTTCTATTGATTTATACAACCTAAGTGACAAGGCTGAATATACCAGGTAGCTCCTAAACTGAGCATGTGCATACATGTCCAATACACATCTACAGTGTATAGAGGAGAACATGTTCTCCCTTCTGAAAACAACAAAGGCATTTACTGACTGTCACACTGAACTCTACTTCCTTTATCCTGAACAAAGTTATAGATGACTTTAGATTTGTGTCACCTCAAAGGCTCTATTGAACCTCTATGGCCCAATACCTTGTGACTTCTTTTGGAAAATGGTTTGTTTACAGAGATGATCAATGTGGATAAGGTCAATATGTGTGGATCTGATGTGGTTAGAACTCTACATCATACAAAATCTCCCATGGCATGAACAAGATGGAGAACATTGATGCCAGGACTTCAGAGTCTTTACTTCTTGACACTCAGGGGGTAAAATATTTTTTGGCAAAAGCTCAGAGTACAATCAGGCCTAGGAAAACCATGAGTTTGAATTTCTGTGTTCTAGAGTTATACAACAAAAAATATCTCATGTTTTAAACATTCAAATTTAGTTTTTTTATTTTTATTATACCAGAATGTTATTGTTAATTTACCAGTTTATAGACTGATAGGCTGGTACAATTCATTTTAAGAATAATGAATGAAAATTGTAAATTTTGGAACACAATGGACATTGTGATAGAGAAATCTTAGAAACTGAGATGCAGAACCAATAACTTGAGTTAGTCTGTCTCTGACTTAGCATTAATTTTATTTATTTTTAACTTGCTATTGAGTAATGAGTTTGCTTAAGAAAACTTTCACCGAAGTTCAGATTTTATTGTTTCTCTTCCTCATCTTCTACCCCTCCATACATGCAGAGAGCCATGTGACTTCTCTGGGGGACAAGGCCTGAGGTTAGCACAAACTAATTATCCTTGTGAAAGGCCCTTGAGCATCTGACTCATTTTGGCAAGGCAGTGGATAGCTCGCTGCATAATTCTGGGCAAGAACCCAGGAGACAATGTGCTACCTGTTCTCTTTGCTTTCTTTATACAAACCATATGGCTGGCTGCCTCTAGTTTCACTTTCTCAGAACTATGGATAAAATAGCTATTACAAGAGAAAAACATTCCCCTGATGAATCTCCTCTAGGTGAGCCAGTGGAGGCATTATTAAAAATATACAGTGTCCCTGATTCAGCCCCTAAAGCCTTTAATGTTTGAAGTGTGACCATGAATTCAGGATTCTCAAGAACAGGATATTTCCTTTCCAACAAACTGGATGATTGTCCTGAAAGATTCACAGTAGTTTATGAGATTACAAATGTGCATAACTGTCCCAGGGAGAATGATTCTGACCAAAAGAGTCTAGGATAAATGCTAATTTCATATTCCCCATGAAACTGTACACTCAACTGGAATTCCCTATAATCTATAGAGACAGGCCATTGTATGATGCTTTCATCAAGTATTAAACCACAACTTCAAAAGCTTTAACAAGAAGAGTATAAATATTCCTCCCCCTTCACATTTTAAGTCATACTCTCTTTGTAATCAATGATCCTAATTTAGACTCTGAGGGCATTTCTGTTTCCCAGAGACATTCTGATTAGCAATTACCTAAAAACCTATGGTTAGATGAAAATATACATTAACAACAACAAAATAGAAGGGACCACATGTCCTTTTTACTTCTGGAACAGAGTATGCTTGTAACTTTCTACAGGATGCTGATATACCACTCTGGTATCCAGACTATTTCTCATGCACTTCTTCAGTTGTTCTCTGCCAAAATGATAGCATCTCATTTTTATGTTTGATTACCTGTTATGTACTATAAAATATTTTTGAACATTTATCATTAATTTGTCTGTCTCTCTTGGTTTACTTTTAATTTTAAATATTCTATTTAGAGTCCTCTACAAAAAAATCAAGACTCTTTATATAGTCCTTCCTGACATTTAAGAGCTCCAATTTAAAAAAAAACAAAATAGGAGAACATGCTGGGAACAGTATGACTTCTCTAGAGGACAAGTCCTGAGAACAGCATGAACAAATTCTCCTTGTGGCAAGGCCTTTGAGAATCTGACCCATTTTTACAAAGCCAATGGAGAGTTCACTGCATAATTCTGGATATGACCCCAAGTGCCTATGTGCTACCTGCTCAACATGCATTTTATACAAACCATATTGCTATAATCCTCTAGAATTACTATATCAGAGCCATGGATGCAATATCTCTTACAAGAGAAAAACACCCCCTGCTGAATATCCTCTGGGTGAGCCAGTGGGGGAATTGTTAAAAATATATAGTGTACCTAATTCAGCCCCTAAAAATTTGATGTTTTAAGTTTGACCATCAATTCATGATACTCATAAAAGTATGTTGCCTTCCAACACACCTTATGACTAGCCTGAAAGAGCTACAGTAATTCATGGCATTACAAACTTGCGTAACTGTTCTGGAGAGAATGACTCCAACCACAAGATTGTAGGAGAAATGCTAGTTCTGTGTTTATAATTTCATATTCACCATGAAACTACACACTCAACCTGGATTCTCTATAATCCTTAGGGACAGGCCATTGTGAAATGCTTTCATAAAGTATTAAAATCATAACCTCACAATTTTTAACAAGGAGAGTACAAATATTTCTCCACCTTCACATTTTAAATCATGCTCTTTTGTACTTAATTATCTTAATTTAGACTCAGAGGGAATTTTTGCTTCCCAGAGACACTCTAACTACTAATTAACTAAATCTATTGTTAGATGTAATGATATATTAACAACAAAAAATAGAAGGGACTGGATGTCCTTTTGACTTAGAGAAGAGGATATGCTTGTATCTTTCTACAGAATGCTGAAATAGCAATCTGCTTTCCAGACTTTTCTTAGGCCGTATATCAGCCTCTCAAATTCCACCTCTGTACCTATTGAACCAAAGATGTCATAGACCTCTAGTGCAGCCTCAACTATGCTGTCCTCATCTAATGCCTGCAGCTGGAGTTTTCTCCAGTCCCACCTGGCCCACAGCTGCTCAGAACCAAATAAACACACAGAGGCTTATATTAATTAAAACTATGGCCTAATGGCTCAGCCTTCTTGCTAGCTAGATCTTACAACTAATTTAAGTTGTTATAATGGGTTAATTTAAATCCATTTCTATAAAACTATACTTTGCCACGTGGCTCATGGCATACTGGTATCTTTACATCTTGATTCTCATGGCGGCGACTGGCAGCATCTCCTGTTCTACCTTTTTTCTTTCTTCTCTAGTTAGAATGTCCTGCCTAACCCTATTCTACATCACCATTGGCCAAACAGTTTTATTTATGGACCAATCAGAGCAACATATTTTCACAGCATTCGGAAAGACACTCCCATCATTTCCCCTTTTTTTCTATTCAAAACAAATGTTTTAATGTCAACCTAGTAAAATTACATATAACAAAACAGTTACTAAGCAAGAATAGTTATAATATCTAGCTATATTTGGCAAAATTAAAAAAGTTATTCTATCTCTCCTAAATCTGTGAGTCTAAAGTTTCATTTTATCTTTTATCATAACCAAGGAAAATTATAACTATCTAGTCTTCAACTACATCAAAGACCTCAGAAGGATACAATATTACCTAAGTATATAGGAAATGCATTGTAAGCAACTTCCAAAAATCTACAGTGACAGAGACAGCTGCCTGCCTGGACAATCATCCAAAGTACTTCTGTAACTTTGGGGTATCCATCTTCAGCCCACAGGCCTAAAGTCTCTCAGTAGCTTCTCTTGGTATCCTGTAGAATGTTTGCCAGTTTCTTCTGTGAAGCAGGAACCTGAAGGACCATCTCTCCTTGTGAAATTCAGTGATTACCTTTCTATAGGTCCTGCATGTCCAGTTGATACAACATTTTGTCAATCAGTCCAGGAAAGAACAGTTTCTTGCCCAAATGGCTATTTTTCCCAATAAGAAGATAAATTCCAGATGGAGTGTCTTTGATGCCCATCATATCTGAAGTAAATCAGTCCTCCCAGGAGCAGACATGTCCACAGTCCAGAAAGTCTAAGTTTTTTAAAAAATTTAAATCCCATATTCTGTAGGACTTTGAAGTGTTTGAATATTACCTGTCTATCTGAAATATATCTATGTATACCTAGAAAACTTAACATGACTATAAGTTTGACTGCCATAGAATACTGATTGTAAATCTGTATTTCTTACTTATCTGCTACAATTTCAAATGAGCTGTACAAATATAATGCCTTAAACAAGAGTAAATATATATATATATATATATATATAT